AAAGACATTAATGAAATTACTAATAACGAAGTATAAACTATTTACATCGTTTCACCCTTAGATAGACGATTAAATAGAAAGAATAAACTAGACCCTAGAATAGTATCTAAGGATATACGTAGACTATAGTTAAACGAACTAGATAAAACTACTATTAGTCGCTTAATTCTACTTTAACAATTATAAGTCAGTAATAAAAATGAGTCTATTCTTTACTAACTATGGGTTCCATTCACGACTTAAAGAAGTTATAGACGAAAGTCTAAACCTAAGAGCTAAGAATATAGCATTAACTATAAAGAAACTATACGAATAACTTAAGTTAGATCTACGATTTCTTATAGAAAGAATAGTAAACTACGTAAATAAGAAACGGATCGAGGGACCGCTCCTAGAGAAGAGAGACCCCGTCTATCTTTTACGAAAAAACATTAAAATGAAAAGACTAAGCGCGAAGCTAAACTATACGAAACTCGGACTATTTAGAATTAAAGATAAGCTTAGGGACGTCACTTATCGACTAGAATTACTAAAGAATATAAAAATTTATAACGTATTTTATAAAGCACTCCTTAAATTAGCACCGCGGAACGCTAAAATTATTTAAATACTTCCGCTAGATAAGAAGATAGCACCCGAGGAATATAATGTTAAGAAGGTCCTCAGAAAACGCGTTAGACGCGGCCAGCTCTAATATCTAATTAAATAGTTAGAATACGACGAGTGTAAAAATAGCTAAGAACTAGAAACCAACCTTTCGAAGGAACTTCTAAGGAAAATAAGGAAGGATCACCCTAAGTGGTTCTTAACGCCAGTAAAGCATTTAGCTATTCATCGTCGAAGGCGAACTCATGAGCTATCGGTAGCTTAGGTTCATCCGGCGTATACTTCTCTTCCCGATTAAGGGCATCTAATACCTAGGATTACCGAACCACTATATCGCTTTGGGCACGAGTATACCCCTCTATTTATCGCTGATAACTAGCTAACCGACGTTCTAACTTAGCTAATTCGGCCACGAACTCAGTAGCCTTAGTACGCACTTAAGCCATGCGGTCGCATAGCCTCCGGGCCCGTTCTACCATCCCCTTACGCGCCTCACGGTAACGACTTTTCAACTCTTTCTTCTTCTTCTCTAAAGACTAAAACTCCTCCTCGGAATATTAATCATTATATCTTATATTTTTCCGAGTACACTCACTACAGCGAGAATTATCTTTTAGAAGAAAGTAGATAGAGAACGATCTAGCGTAATTCGAATAAGAGGCCATAGTTAAAGAATCTAGGCGTTTTATCTTTTTAGTAAGAAGGCGACGCTTAGAGGAACGTTAACGGGAAGCTTTACGAATATCTAAGGAAGAAAGAAGGGAAGATATCTTTAGACTTAGATAAATTTAAGCTGGGTAGTGTCCCGCTTTTATATCATCGCTAAGACGGACTCTTAGGATAAGAGTCTAACCGGAGGGAGAATAGTGTTAGACACAGCCTTGGGGAGACCGATTACGAGTCGCACGAGTACGACTCACCACGCTCATTAGACACCTAGAAGGATCCACGGAAAAACAAGGCTGGGTCACGTGATAGGCCCTGTTGGCCCTGTTGGCCCTGTTGGCTCTGTCAACAGAGCGCACAGAGCGCATAGAGCGCACAGAGCGCAAGCATTATATATACACCCTCATTACCCTAGGTAGTTACACTCTCTTCGTAGCCAACTCATGTTATCTACTGGACTATACAGTTCTTAGTAACAGAGAACCCTGCTCATACCTTGTGTCCTCCCCAACCAGCTCATGCTATTCTAGGATTGTTGCTGAGAACCCTAACCCAGTTAGGATCAGTAGGGATCCTTAACACGTATGTACAGAGACTCAAAGTCTTAAGGAGGTTTAATAGGGCTTTAAGTGTACGGTTCTTATACGCTTTTCTCTATTAGTGCCTTCGCCCCTTTATTGTGTTTATTGTGTAGGGCTCCCAGTGGGTTTTAAGTATTTTAATAATATCGTGTAGATTAGCTACTCTCCTAAGCCTTTAACCAGTCAGCAGATATTTTCGGCCGAAACTGGAGCAATCTCAATCGCCGCTATGACCTTGGCAATCGTAAACGCTACTAACACATGTAGCATAAAGATATTTCCTGTTTAAGCTTCGATTGTGCTAGAGCACTGCTACAACTGAATCGGTGAGACCGATGTTAGAGCTCCCGCTAAGCACTAGCCGGGCAGGCTGTCCTCAGTAACAACCCTTGAGTAGCGTGAGCTGGTTGTGGATAACGCGAGGTATGAGCAGTCGATGTTACTAAGAACTGTTGAGTCCAATAGCTAATATGTGAATTGGCTACGAAGAGAGTGTAAACTATCTAGGGATAATGAAGGTGTATATATAATGCTTGCACCCTGCGCGCTCTGTACGCTCTGTGCGCTCTGTCACAGGGCCAACAGAGCCAACAGAGCCAACAGAGCGTCTCACATGACCCAGTCTTGTTCTGCCGTGGATCCTTCTATGTGTCCAATGAATATGGTGAGTCGTGCTCGTGCGACTCGTGGCCGGTCGTCCTCAAGGTTGTGCCTAACAACCGATGACAACTTCTTGCTGACTCCCTAGAGAAATTCAGGAAAATCTGCTTTTATTACTTCGAAGCTTTAAAGCCTTCCGGTGATAGAGCTGCTGCTAAGTCCTAACTAGGTTAGGGTTCTTAGTAACAAACTCCTTAATAGTACGAACTGGTTATAGATAACGCAAGGTATGAATAGTCTTGTGTTACTAAGAAGTCTTAGGTTCCTTAGCTAATATGAATTGGCTACGAAGAGGGTATGACTATGTAGGATATCTATATACCCGTATGGTCCTTCCAGATAGGGTAATGTTGAATGGTTCCTGGTACGCTTCCCGTACCGAATTCCAATGTTTCAACGTTCCGTACTTTCCTATTTCAGATGTCACGTGATCCTTGTCCTCAAGGCTGCCTGGTGTTTCCCTTTTTGTTGGATTCCCCACGTGTTCTTCATGGTCTCCCCAGGCCATGTCTAACACCGGGTCACTCCCGCATGAAATCTCTTGATGAGGGTTCTGGTAGAGTATCTGGTGATATGCGTATGAGGTTGAGCCCCGATGATTAGCAGATATGAACGTTGCCCGTTCTGCCCTGCTTTTGAAGATACTTGCGAAAGCGATTGAATTGTTGAGACCGCTCTGAGTAAGAATCTCTCAGACACATTGTGGTAAGCTGGGGTACGGCCTACAAAGGCGTATTCAACAAATCCCAACCGCCGATATGACTAAAACTGACCATGTACCATAACTTGCCAGGACCGGCTCTGTCGCGGTGCCAGCAGAAAAAGTAAATCGGCATTTTCAACTCCATGAGCGACGATATTTATGGGGTTCCGACTGCTCCGTGCCATGCTGATGAGCACCACTACCCAAACAAAGCCATGGCAGTCCTTTCGGTGGCTTCTGTTAGTGATCCTGGGACTGCAGGATCACTGGCAGAGTTCGTCTTTTCATCTTCGAGGATCTCGAGAGGTTTTTAGAAGTATTCTAACAACTGCCATTGAAAATGGTATGATATCCTCCTCAATCAAGAAGAAACCATGGCCAGAGTCGACGAGATACTGAAACAGGGTATACACGAAACGACGTATCATTGTAAGAGTATTGGAAGGTACAGGAACATCTAAAAATACGCCCAATAACAACTTCCTGCAACCGGGAATCAGATGTAGTCTATCTTCTGCAAGGTCAAGAAGCCCATATGATATTCCTCACACGTCTTTGCCATCTAAAATACCACAGTCAGCCACCCCATCTAACTATGACCTTTTCTTTGTGAAAAAGGACAGCTTTATAGCGGTTTCATGTCGCCGATTTGATTTGAAGAACAAAGTCTGGAACAGACTCGATATCTCCAAGCCATTGCACTTAGTATGCACCTTTCTTTTGAGCTAGCAGCTCACCGTACTGTATCTGTAGTTTCTCCGCCAAGACACATTTCTAAAGAATCTGCGAGGCTGCCTCATTAACGTCTCAAATCACCGCTTCAAAGTATTCATGTTCTTGCGGCGCTGTAGATTGTTTGGGGATCTTATGGAGTCTTCGTTTTCGAATGCGCTCCTGCACAGCAATCTCCTAGAAACAGTGGAAAGGGCGCATAGAGTGAGTCGTTCTCTTTCAAGAAGAAAACGGATGGACAGATTAGTCCTATGAACACCTGTAAGATTCCATGCTGCTTCCATGACAACGAGCTTTTTTTAACTAATGAGAGACATGAGAAGACTCATATCTTTACACTACGAGTTAAGAGGAAGCCTCTGTTGTGGCAAACACCAGCGACGTGGGACAAAATGTCGCGAAAGCGCCATCACATAACCCAGGAACCCAACCCTCACCAGCTTGATTTCGCAAACGGGGACAGATTTAGGCATGGATTGCAATGGTTCCCCCCTTGCCTCTTTCCGGTTTCCCCTCGCGCGGGCTATCGTACGACATCATCACCGCAGAGAGGAAACTAAGCCACCGCTTGTGGTGCTATCGTCAGGCGGCATTGAAGGATCTGCTCGTCGCTGGTTTCCTATGCCCTACTTGGCACCATGAAGGGGTAACTGTCAGGCAGGTCAAGTGCCGATCTATCTTCTTGACATCTATGAGGTCTTTTGGAACAATGCTAGTCAGGCATTCGTTTCAGTGCAGAGTCGTTGGCAAGATCCGAAACCGATAGCCACACCCACACAATCTATTTCTGCTCCTAGCGGGGTCTACATACATATAAGTGGCAAAGGATGCTCTAGGGGAATACGCAGACAGACCAAAACGATTAAAGTCCATGCGAAACTCTGAAGATAGCCCGGGACTGTTAGTCAAACACTCCATCTTGATACCGCTTGGCCAAAGACCACACGGCCTGATTCGAAGCTCAAGGCTTGTTAAAGTCGACCACAATTCGTCTAATTATCTGCTGTCAGTTTCGGTCCAACGGTTTTACGGAAGCTGAGAGGAAAGGCAAATTACCCAGCAACCTGTCCATTCTTAAGTTTCTGGACTGAATCGTTCCATTGCGACACACCCACTACCTCTGGATCGAGATGGAGTTTTCCTGTATGTAAGGTTTATTGTTAACAAAATGCTCAGAAGATGTGGAGTACGTCTCTGCATCATACTTACCGCGTCTAGCAAAGTCGAGCGCGAGTGCAATCTCACCCAGCGAACTAACAATTGTGCTTGTGACTGATTGATTGCGAAGCATAAAATTTGAAGCTGTTGGGTCGAGGGTAATGGTGTGTCGATTTGGCGGGCCAATGCCGATACACATCAGCTTTCCCCCTGCTCGATCGCCAAGGTAGCCTATGGCGAAGGGATATGCTTGAATAGCAGTCACAAAAACACCGTGAGCTCCGCCATCGGTTAATGCGAGAACATCCGCCACTGGATCTTTCGTTTCCCTGAAATCCACGAAATGCTCAGCACCGTATTTCCGGCTGAGCTCATGCCGTTTCTCTCCTGTGTCGACCACAATGGGTCTGAGACCCATTGCAGATGCAAGTTGAACGCCCTGCAGACCGACGCCACCTCCACCTCCAATGAATACGGCCCATTGTCCCGGTGAGAGATTTGCCGTCTTCAGAGAATGCAGCATAGTGGACGCTGAGCACATCACCGGTCCGGCAACATAGTCGCTCACGCCTTCTGGAATAAGGATAGTGTATCGTTCTGGCGAAACAACATATTGTTGATATGAGCCTTTAGTATTCCCGTCAGCTGAGCCCGTACCAATGACGAAATAGATCAACGAACCAGGTTTTTGCAGCCCCGTGGAAATGCTACCCTTGCAGTAGTTCTCCCTGCCGTTTCGACAACTCTCACATGAATGACACACATCCCAGGTCGGCTTCATCCCGGCCCGCTGGCCGACTTTGAGTGACGTTACTTGCGACCCGACTTTGACTATTACCCCTGCACCCTCATGTCCGGGAGATCTTGTCTGAAAATGCGACATCGATGGCACGCCCAGGTCATTGAGCATGTAATGAACATCGGACATGCACAAACCCGTTGTGTTAAGTTTAATCAGCACTTCGTTAGGCCCTGGCTCCGGCACAGGGACATCGACAACTTCAATATGAAAATCTGGCCCTTCATTTACAACGACGCCAGCAAGGCAGGTCTTGGGAATTTCTCCCATGCTAAGGACCGAAACCGGGGTCTGTCAAAGAGTAGACACGGTTGTTCTACAGCCAACGAATAACGAAAAACACAGATCACCAGGGGCTAGGACCGATGGAGATCTCGCAATGTAAAATAATGCTTCAATGCCTGAACAGACTGGCCCTTCTGGCCCCGGATCTTATGAAAGGCCAAATTAATTTTCCTCGGGAGTTAGGGGAGTTGACATTTATCCAGATTTAGTAGGCCGAGGTCCGAATGTGGGTCGGTAGACAACCTTTGATAAAGTATCGACCCATCGAAGCAGGAAAAAATAATGGTCAAAAAGTATTTGACAATTGCTTTGTATCCTAGTCACTATCTCGAGCGGAGTTAAAGTTACCTTCACCGTCGTGCTTTTTCGAATGTACCCTCTTCGGAGCGCCTCCATTGCCTGGTCCTCTCAAGAATACCAGTGAACCTCGGCTGGTGGGCTTCATTTCCTTCCTCGGCCACCCTTGGGATAAGTCAAAAATTAGTCATTGGAACGACCTCTCGGAGGGTAAGCAGGCAGCATTGTATGCATATAATTACCAAGCAGCACATGCCCTTTCGCCGTGATATTCTTTGGATGACCCAAGATACAACTTCTTCCAAGAAATCCCACATATTATGAGCAATACCCAGCCTTGATATCGCTACCTGAGACGTATGTAGACCCGAAAGTACTGGTACCTCTTTCACGTAACATTCGAAGTCATACTGATAATTAGAAACCATAGATGTGGAAGGCGATCCCAAGTTGATCTACCTTCCCCTTTCGATACTGTTGCCAACACAAACACCAAGATCCTCTGATGAACGATCCCGATGTCCTTCAATCCATTAGAGGCTAGCCCTTGCCGGGCCAGCCATTTCACCATTGTCCTGAGAGGCAAAGTAATTCCTCTTGCCGGCGTAGAATTCTGTTAACGCTTCTCTCAGGGCCTTCAACCCACGGTCAATATGTCTCTCTGGCTCGCCTACAACGCTGTAGCCCATGTGTCCAACTCTTACGTATTGATGGCCGACCTCTTTATGCATGCCCCCTACTATAGTAAAGCCTTTCTCTGTGACTCTTGACAACAGTTCCTTTGATGACAAGCCGTCAGGGAGCCAAAATGCAGTCAGGCCGTTGGCCTGGTACTCTGGCTCCGCTGTCAATTGTGTCAAGCCCAGTTCCTTCACCACCGCTTTAACCTGAGCGCTTTTTTGTCGGTGCTGCTCAAATCTTTCCTCGAGTGGGCGTGAGAGAATTGATGTAAGAGATGCGTGAAGGGCGTGGACAATTTGAGTGGGGGGTGTTGCGAAATAGCTCGACTGCTTTTTCTCATAATTTTGCATGATCGGCAACCACCGTGGCAAGCTGGCATACCAGCTATTGGCTGGTGCTTTCCTCGATTTAGCAACCTCTAGAGCACGCGCGGATACCATGATGATACTCAGGCCAGGGGGGCAGCCAATGGCTTTCTGTGATCCGGTAGCGACGATGTCGATATCCCAAGCGTCAAATTGAATTTCTTCACAGGCAACACTGGCAACGCCATCAACGATTAAAAGCGTTCCAGGAGATACGCGCTTGAGAAGCTCTGAAAGAGGCTTCAGCGGTGTTAAAACCGCAGTCGACGTATCAACATGGGTTACGACCAAGGCTTTGTATCGGACCTTTCTCAATTCCTTCTCGACGTTTTGAATATTTGGCACAGCTCCGATAGGTACTGTCATTCTCTTAGTGCGAGCTCCGTACGTGGAAAGGCACATCTCAAAGGCATCGGAGAAGTATCCAGTACTGAGACAGAGAACTGGGTCTCCAGGTTCGATGAAATTGGTTGCCACAAAGTCCCAGCCGAGGGTACCACTGCCTCCAATGACAAATGGCTGAGCATTTGGGTCTGCACTCTGGAAAAGTTTACGGAGCATCGTCAAAACGTCGCCAAAGGTGTTGCAAAATGGCTGGGCGAAATGTGATTCCGCAAACGATGCCATAGCCCTGAGGACTTCCGGGTCAACTTCAGTCGGGCCCGGGGCAAGGAGAATTGGACTGGTTCGAGCCTGCAAATCCATATTTCCGACTTCCATAACTGCAAATTAAAATGACTTGGATGTGCTAAGAAAGTATTTCAAGTAGAGGACTGTACACCACAAGGCTTTCGCGGTAACGCTGTTGGCATAAACGACGAGCGAAAGAGGTTGACTCTTGATGTATTTCCCAATTTAATTCTCCATATCAAGGACGTCGACCGTTTCCGTAAACGAGCCCCTGAGATACGTGAGTGTGGAGTTATCGGGTCATCTGGCAACCTCCCCGTTCGGAGTTCTCAGGAGTATGTCTAGGGTAAATGATCTGCCGCGCAAAATGAGGATGTTTCAGCACAAAGAGCTTACGATCAACCCTTTTTCTTCGAAAATAGAGGTCACTGCTTGGAAATGACGTCGGATGAAGCCGGAACATTTAATAGGAACGATCACCCTTTGGTAGAATGGTTTCCTCTTCAGTATCAGGGCCCCCTACCGCGATTATCGCGATATGTGGGATGCGGAGACCGCCACGATGAGTCAAGCGAGCCGTGAAGCTAGAAAAAGAAGCGAAGAGATTCTATGGTGTATTGGCCGCTGCAAAGGCTGGTCATGCTGGGTACACTGAAGGATGAAGTTGACATTGATCCAATCTGCAGCCGACTAGTGCATGCACAGTATTTAGTCCCATGTAGGACCCCGTAACCCGTTACTAACCATGCAAGTGAAGGGATTTCCCCGCGATTTCACTCCGATGACTATTCTTCTTTTGGCAGCTTCAGGTAAGCAGGGCCATACAGATATCGCCGTGCGTCCGTGGAATTTTCGCCCCGTTGGAGATATCTCCATGTTCATATGAACCTGATAACGAGTGGGTACTTTTGACAACACTGAAGAAATATGTCCCTGGCACTTCGTGCTTACTTGACGCGTTCTCTCACTCAGCATAGTTGGGTTTGTTGAAACGCGCCTTCTTTTCATAACTTACGCGATAAATGGGCAGTTGATGCAACATCAATCGGCGTTGTACATTGCGAATCTAATAGCATGGCTCTTTTCCCGGTCTGGCTAGGTTTCTGGCTAGCCCAATGAAGAAGTTAGGACTCGCGTCAAATGAAAGCGCACTGCATCTAGCCACTGAAAAAGCAGAGTTCTCCGTTGAGAATGCTCAGTTAGTGTGACGGAGGGAGAGTTGATTCATGTGGCCGGTCCGATGTCCTTGGGATCCCGAGCCTGGCTGCCTAATTCTGCCAGCGAAGCACTGAGAGAAGAACGAAGCTGACAAAAAAAGGCAAGGGGCTTCGGAATATCAAGGAGAAAGCCCGCCTCTTGGTTGTTTAGAGATAGATCACAGGACAAAGTGTTCGATAGCACCGGATGAAATATGCGAAGGAACAACTGCAAGTGAAGAGAGTAGCTAGACAGCTAATTTTGATGTGTGAAAGGTGGGAATCCCTGGGATTGAGGAATTCAATGTGCAAGGGCTTAAGGCCGAAAATGGTCTTTCTTTCTACTTCACCCGGATGTAGCCAGCCTTCCGGTCCATCTGAGTCAAGAAACCTGTCAATCATTTGTCGTTCCACTGCTCCTTTATCTTTCGCACCATGGAGCCCCGAAAGCCCTTCGTCTACAAGGAGGCCTTGAGCGTCGAGTTCGTTCCCAAAGCGAATGTGGAGTACATCCCTCCTTCCCTCACATCATGCTTGAGTGGTTGTCCTGCTAAAAAGCGTCGTAAATTTTCCGCTATGAGCGCTTCCGAGTAACGCGGTCTACCTCCAGCAGCATGCGGTGAGATAATCAGATTTGGTGCTTTCCACAGAGGTGAAGCTTTAGGAAGTGGCTCTTCATAGAAGACGTCCAATGCTGCACCGCCGATAATTCCATTTTTCAGCGCGTGAACGAGTGCATCTTCATCCACACAGACTCCTCTTCCGACGTTGATCACCCAAGCATGTCTGGGAAGCATCGCGAGTCGCTCAGCATTGAGAGCCTGCCAAGTCGCTTTAGAGCCTGGTAGAATCATGATCAGGGCATCAGTCTGCGGGAGCAAGTTGGGCAAGGCCGCGTTGGTCTGTACTTGAATCCCGTCAATAATCTCTTCATAAAGCCCCACTCCCTGAATGTTCGCGCCCAAAGCTGTCAAGTGTGGTGCAAGTGTGCGACCAATGTTCCCCATACCCCATATGAGAATATTTGCGCCTTTTAGCGAAGTAAACGATCCCTTGGGCCGGTCAGGTAGGAACCCCCCAAGGTGGCCTGGCCACTTCCCCTGGTTTTGGTAGTCACGCATTTCGTAGAGACGACGAGCGGCACTGAGCAAAAGGGCAAGTGCATGCTCAGCAACCGTCTCATTGTGCAGGTTGGTACCAGCTGTCATGACGACATTTGCTGGGAAACCTGCTGCAAGTTCGTCGTTCGGGCCAGCGAAAAGCGACTGGATCCAGCGAAGGTTGTGCATTCGCTTGGCGGCATCTTGCAAATTAGTGTTGGCCCAAGTAACAAGGATTTCTGCGTCGATGAGAGCTTCCGGGATAGGTTTGTGAACGTTGTATGCGTGTAGTTCAACGCCGAATCCTTCAAGCCTCTCTACGTCGAGCTTCAAGGAGGTAGGATAAAGGAGCTTCATAGCTAGTCAACCAGGGCTTTAGCAGGAAGGCTTAAACCGGCGAAGATCTCTTTCCACTGATGCAGATACAGGTTGCAGGTTTGTTTGTATATAGATGATTGCGGTCACTTCTCGCCTCTTGACGCGCCCATCACGGGAAAAGCCCAATTTCGAGTACAGGCTAAGTATGCGGAAGAAATCGGGAGCTTTCTCATCTAATCCCTGCATAACTTCAATCTAGGAGTACTCGATGAAGAAATACGCAGATCGAGAAACCGGGTAGTCATTTGACGGTTAAACCTTTTAACGTCGGGGCACGTCGCATGTTCACATGTCTCCGCTGAGCAGGACACGCGGTCATGAAACACAGGGCCTACTCAGTGAGACACAGCGGGATAGCCGACTGAGAACTATCGCGTGTTCTTTCAACCAACCTCTTCGCAGCTGGTATCACCGATCGATTCTTGCGCTCTTTGCGACGAAATCGTCCACAGCAAATGAAGATATGGACCGAACCGACCTTGTTCGCACGACTTTGTTGGATACTTGTGGAAATCTCATCCCTCTGGTCCAAGTAGAGGTTCATATGAGGCTGGGATGATACTTGCTGAAAGGCTAGGCACTTCGTTGAAGTCATCGAAAGGATACATTGGCCTGTGAATGCGGGTGTGTCCCAGCCGTTTCAGTCTTGATCAACGCCAGCAGGCGAAAGGGGAAGTCTCCAACCAGCCGCCATGTTGTGCAATTCTGGTTCCAAATAACCAATTTTGACGATTACAATATATGCTTCTCGAGGCTTGAGGTCGAGGTCAATAAAGTCCTCATGATGGTATAGTTTGCGGAGTGCTGTGAGGATGACAAAGACACTGCCCACTTGCAAGACGACTTCAATTCGGGCATCGCTGTCTCCGTGTTAGATGGCAAGCACTCGGCCTGTCATGGCGATTGGCCCTGAATGGATATTGTAAACCTCAGCGCGGGCGGTTACGGTGACAGTTGCACCTATCCCTGCATCGACGCAGGTGCGGACTGCTTTGGCTCCGGGGGTACTGGCATAGATTACCCGCCGGACCGGAAGATTGCTCGAACTCAGAACTAGCTAGTAAACGCATCAAGCCCCAGGTCATATCCCGGCTTCCACCGGCAGTTGGGTTGTATCCTGAATCGCTGATGAAGAACGGATGCTTCTTGGATTCTATTGCTGCATCGATCCATTCATCAAATGAGCCTGTGGGACCAACAAAGTGGTCAAAATCCTCATGCGCATCCCAGAAGACCTGCGAAAGCCTCTCTGCTTCATTCTTGACCATATCTTCATGCCATCCTGTCACCACCACAACAGCACAGTTTCGTGGTTCGTCTGCCCCGGATACCCTACCCAAATTGCGGCATCAATGACACATCTCTTCGACTCAGCACCAGGAACTGCAGCAAAAATGTGTTTTGCTTGTTCAATTCGGGTCGAAGTCTGCTCGCCTGGAAGCAAAACCGGAATGGGAATCCATAGTTTGATAGGCAGCTCAGGACAAATACCAGCTCTCTTTCCAGCTGGGGACTTTGTTAGCAGCTCGACAAGGTTTCTGCAAGCTCGCTCCTTCGTCTCACGCATATCAATATGCGATGCAGTGCAGTAACAAGTAATGAGATCATTCTGGTGCACAAGTTCACGACTCACGTTGCCATGTAAGTCCATGGATGCTGACACCACCACGTCATGGCCAATGACCTGTCGAATGCGGAGGAGGAGCTCTGCCTCGGAGTCATCAATACCTTCAACGCACATGGCGCCATGGATGTCGTACCAGAGACCATGGATAGTGGTCGATGACACAATCGCTCGAAGCCGATCTATGATCTCGCAAGTCAGCTCTTCGAAAGAAGCACGCGTTACAATCCCTCCTGGTAGCGCATGACCGATCAGAGCTCCGTGCCAGTCTGCGATCTTCCCGAGGGAGGCATCTTTCCTGATAAAGGGATATTTCTCGATAATTTCACGGCCACGTTTGGCATGGAAAGCAGACGCTAGCGTTCTGGAGGGTGTGAAAATCGAAGTCTCGCACGCAAGACCTGCAACTGCAATTGCCAGCCGTTCAACCATCTCAGCAGTTTTTTCTACCTCAGCCACTATAACCCGCAGCAGGGCGGGGGGGGGAGAAGACAGGATATGCTCCTTCCTTTTAAAGCTGTCACCTTGGCTTGCGCGGACTGGAGCTTCTCAGGCTAAGCTCATGTGGGTCATAAGCTTGGCAAATAGGCTGAGTCGAAACAGGTTTGTCACCCGCAGATCTCCTTTCGATAGTAATATTCTCCGCCTCCAAACCTTCAATGGCGGCTATCATGGAGATTGTTATCAGCCTATCTTTCGTCCAGAGCGGCACAAGACACCACCCTGTTGAGGGGACGGCTGATCACCGGTCACCGTATTCCATGCTTTGTCACCTGGAGTTTCGCACCATGTTGTCTTTGATAGCACAGCTTCAATCCTTTGCTCTGCCTTGCATCTGGTTGCCGTTGGGGCCGAGCATTGAATAGCGACGGCGAAATGCTGAAAAGGACTCCCTCGGGTAGCTGGCTCCCTGCCTGGGTACCTGAATCAACAGTGATGCTTTCAATCCTGTTGATATTCTGTTCAATGGCGCAGTCGACGGTGAGTACCTGCCTAGTCGCTCTTGTTCGTCCTGACCGAGGTCAGACTGGTGGCTATGACGGGTCATGCCCAACGGCCTCAACATCTTACCTTCGTACACGGATTATTTCAATGCCAATGCCGCAACTACCGGTCTCAATACTGCTTCCCTCTTCGTTGGCGGTTTCTTTGGACCTCTCATCTCTGGGATCATTGCAGATCGATATGGCTTACGCCCAGCCGTATTCTGGGGCTCTGTATTGACTCTAGTTGGTATCATGCTTCAAACCGCTGCACAGATTATAGCGCTGTTTGTTGTCGCCCGCATTGTCCTGGGATTTGGCTCAGCTGTTTCTGGTATTGCCGGCTGTGTCTATCTGGCAGAGACCTTTCCGAGCAAGTATCGCGCGTGGGCCAGATTCCGTTGACCTCATAGCTCTTAATTCGGCTTTCGAGACGGTGATGGGCCTGGAGAGTCCGAAAAACGTTCCTGATAGGATACGAACCGCAGCCTCTACATCGAGCATCGAGGTTGTGAAGGGGCAGTATTTTGGAAGATCTTGCCACAACGACAGAGATGCATTGCGAAAAAGCTGGCATGTGAAGAGTCAGAGATGATGAAGTTATTCGCATTCACACAGATGAAAGGCTACTCTAGTTGCAGCCCGTGAGACTTTCGCTCTTCCCATATGGCGCTTTCTTAGTAGTTGTGCTGAGGATGACTTACGCCGCAAGAGAAGCAAGATAGCAGGTCTTCCTTGCCAGGTCAAAGGCCTTGAGCAGAGGCCGACGGTATTCAAGAAGTGTTCATTGGTTTAGCGATTGAAGCCAGACTCCGAAGCCAACACAGAGGACTAGGTGCTGATGAGAATGGGCAAGGAAGAGGTAAATTCGCAGTGGCTCCACATAACTCGTCGTCAAGTGCCGTGAGGGAGAATTAGGCCAATCACTTTCTCAGTCACGGGAGGTTCCAATGTTCACATCTGGTCGTACTTTCTTGGTTCGCAATCCATCGAGATCGCTGGCCGTCGTTCAGGCAGCATTTGCTCTATGAAAGTCATGAAAGTGATTCGAGAGCTTTCATTAATACCATATTTGAGGAGAAAGCATTTCGGTCACTAGGATTCATTGGATTGTAAATTCTCATGGTAGGCTCGTTCTTGCTCAGTTGACGAGTCGGTCACATTCATCAAGCAGCCATCTGCATGACATACTCTCTGGTGGAATGGCCGAACTTGATTATATCTTTGTTCCGCAGCTCGACGAATCTTCCCTCCGGCACAGCTTCATCGTTGACAGTTGTGCCATTGGCGCTCTCCAGATCAATCACGTACGGCTTCACTTTTCCGATCCTGTCACCGAGCTCATTACTTCCCTCGACATGCCGAAATTGAATGACGGCATGTTGTTTGGAGCAACTGGGATGTTCAAGAACGCAATCGCAAACAGACGCTTCTCTGCCAAAGAGCCAGCAAGATTGGGAATACAAACCCAGCGTGTCGACAATGGATTCGCCTTTGAAGATGTACAGCCTCCAGGGTTGAGAAGAAGGGGGCTTTCGAGCTTCGGGCGGCTCATGGTATTTAAGCACCACGGCGCCAGTTGACGTTGAGACCGTGTTTGAGGCTGCGGCTAGAAGACCAGATGGACGGAAGTTTGGTTTCTGCTTTTCGAGTGGTGGTGGCGATGGGCCGTCTTTAGCGGAGTTGAATGCGTTGGCCTGGGACGGGAGAGAGCCTTTCAGACGTGTAAGTCGCTCCGGTGAGGTCTGTGAGCGAGGTGACCGCGATCTGCGTTCTTCATGTTGTCTGTAGCTCTGCTTATCCAAACTTTCGGACCTTCTCCGTCGTCGATTGCGAGTCCGTGACCTTCGCCTTCTCTCATCGGGGTAATAATCTCTTCCCTTTCGGTCATGGTCGCGGTACCGACTGCGAGGCTCAGCCCGTGAGTCGTTGCGACGAGGCGATCGTGAACGCGTCATGTAGATTCGGCGAGGCCAATAAAACAAATATACCAACTTGGCATCTTCAGCATCTTGCAAAAGTATCTCATCGGCAAACCTTCCAAACGATCGGGGACCTAGACGCCGATGACATGGAAGACTTTGTCCCCTCCACACTCACAACCCATTGCAACCTCTTATCTATCCATCCGCTTGCTATTCACAATGCCATCGATATTGTTCAAAAAGGTGAGGCTGCCGGCGGCGTACAATACATGGCAATGCTGTCTCTGCGCGTCATGCCCCAGCTCTCCGCAGAAGCGATTGAAGCAAGAGCCACGCTTTGCCCCCCAGTCTAGAACTTATGCAGACGTCAGGTCAAACCGAGGGTATGAGTTTCGGGACAATATGAACTGGCCATGTCGGCGGAACTCCTCTTTCACGCCTTCACCCTACGAGATATTCGGCCTAGATAAGCACTCGGTCTATACCAAGCACAAGTTCTACGAATTGGTGAAGATCTACCATCCGGATAGAAACAGCAACAGCTCCCTTTGCGGGGAACTGAGCGACATTGAGAGGCTGGAGAGATACAGATTGGTTGTTCAGGCGCATGAGATTCTCTCCGATCCGGTCAAGCGAAGGGCATACGATGCATCTGGCGCAGGATGGGGAGCAACAAGGACAGCAACTAGACACTCGCACGGATATACTAATCCCGAAGGGAAACGATATGGATTTGGTCCGGACGATGATTCCTCAATATTTCAAAATGCCACTTGGGAAGATTGGGAACGATGGTACCGCCGATACGACAAGCTCAAAGACCCTCCAGTCACATACCTACATCCCAATGCGTTCGCATCCATTGTCATCCTCCTCGCGGTGATTGCTGGAGTCCTTCAGGCTACAAGAGCCGGACAATTCACCGGATCGATAGAAGAGCGAGCACAAGCCTTTACCGAGGAAACAAATCGATTCCTGACATCAAGGAAAGATCACTTTGAAGAACATGACATTAAGGGAACGGGCCGTGTCAAGCATTTTCTGGAGAAGCGTGATCCGGCAAAATATGGATTGAAGCAAGAAGAGGAGGAGGTCTATCGGACACATTTTGCCAGTCCGATCTTGCAGCCGATCCCAACTTTGAAAGACTCGGAGAAGCAAGGCCAGGAGCTGTGAGGGGCTTCAGGAATACTGTACATAACTTCTTTTGTGACTCTTCTCGAGGTCAGGCCCTGATTGATGATGATTATTGTTACATTGAAAACGCCACCTTTGTCCCCAGCAGCATGGATGAACCGACTGCCATGATTCTATTTCCCGCCTCGAAGGATATGCACGCGGCGTCTCTCACGACATCTTGCCCTTGACTTCCTCTGCCTTGCCCTTTGCCTGGCCTGAGAGTTCAGCAGTTTTTCCTTTGGCTCCACCGGCAACTTGGGAGGCAGTGCCTTCAACCTTCTTAGTCTCAACACCAATGGCTTCGGCGGCTTTGTCTTTCAGTTCCACTATAAATCTGTCAGCGAGGTCGATTTGCGAGGTGACAGAATTGCGAGCCTACCTCCTTTGTCGATGCCTGCAACCGCAACATCTGAAACTGCTCGGTCAACCGTCTTGAGGCCGTCCTTGACCGTTTCGGTGGCGGACTTATTCTGAATGACTGTGGCAGAGAAGAGGCGAGGTGAGGAGCGTACCACAGACGATCGGACTGCGGTGCGAAGGACCCGAGTTGTTTGGTAGAGGAAAGACATGTTGAAGGGAATTCTGCACAGGATAAGGTTGACAATCTGACGATGGGGTTCTGAAGTCTTGTAGGGGGAACGTGAGTATTGTTGGACGTTGCAAAATCTGTAATTCTGGAGGGATATGAAGTCAGATTTTTGAATCATGGACTGATGGGTGAAATCTTGAAGGAGAGTGTCGATCCTGCTTTCTCCACCTCGACATCGACGTCACAAATGCGACCTTTCGGTTTCCCCACATTGCAGCAGACAAACGCCACTGACTCGCTCGGGCTTGTGATCCGGGGGGAATGTCCGTTTCGTGTGTCGTGCTGCGCATTTTCGAACACAGCGGCTGATGTCACTGTGTAGGGGAAATTCACATGCAATTCACGCCCAGACGCAGAAATCGATCATTCCTACCGAGAAGACCAAGGGCGGCTAAGTACGCAGCGAGTCGGTAGGTACATCCAACGAGCCACCCAATTCAGCGATCCTCGTCCCAAGCTTCCGTAGTTCACATTACTCCGTACCCCGTACGGGGATGCTCGGTACATTTCTCATACAGTCGCCTCATCCTTCAAAATCCAGATCCTCCTCATAAGGTGTTTGTTGATGAACACACATAAGAAATCTCCCTGCCTCCGGATCCTTCCGCCAAGTGCTCGAGATCAATGCTTTGAATTCGTCCTGTCTCATATCATCATCATCCGTAATATGTCGTCTCGTCGCATTGACTCGATAACTAATCAGGGCAGCTTCCGATCCCAATTGCGTAATTTCCACGTCGCTCATCTGGTACTGCTTCCACGGCACAAATGCATCGCTTCTCATCACATCTTCAAGATTCGGTGTCGTTTTGGCTGAGACTTTCATTCCCAATGGAAAGAGCATGATACAATCTCGGCTGAGGAACGGCAAAAGTGCAACCCCCGAATTCGTCAATGCTCGCCAAGTTGAGTCCTCGAGAGCCAGAATAGTGTCATGAAGCATGCTGTGGTCCATTCTGAAGTCACCGACGCGCTGACCGGGTGGGAAACCTTTGCGCAGTTGAGGAGGTTGGAAATGTGGACGATCACTGCTTTGAGAATTATTTAGATGACTTTTCAGAATTATGCTTGTTGGATGTCAAGTGACCGCATGGCATGATGTTGTTGCATACTCGAGATCTCGGGACAAGCGTCAGCCAAGCAAAACCAAGAGCTTCAAGCCATACCAGTAGGCAAACTGGCCCCCGCAACCTCGGTCCACTACCCCTGAACTCCACACGAACCGACATAGGTATGTACATATTCACAGCTCAGATGTCTCTTCTTCAGTTCCTGATCACCATGTCAACGCATAAATCTCGCAATCATGCGAATTCGTCCAGCATGGCGTATGCTCACTGCTCTACAGGCTCCCCAATTCAAATACCGCAGCTTCGCCTCTGCCTCTGAATCCGCTCCAATCAAAGTCCACCATCAAGCTGCTCCGCACTCTGGTAACATCCGCATTCTTCTCCTCGACAGACCCGCTGCTCGAAATGCCTTGTCACGCAGTCTCGTCGCCGGCTTGAAGCGCCATGTCGATGAGGTTAAGGCCGAGGGCGGTGCAGGCCCGACAAGAGCAGTAGTCATCGCGTCCAATACAGACAAAGCGTTCTGCGCCGGGGCCGACCTAAGGGAAAGAAAGGAAATGACGCAAGAAGAGTACGCATCTTACTCCCGTCGTGGTTGCATCTAACGAGTACTTACCAGTGTAAAGAATCAGGGAATTCCTGACCGGCATGCGGAACACCTTCACCGATCTGTCTAATCTCCTTGTCCCTACCATCTCTGCCATATCTTCTATCGCTCTCGGTGGCGGTTTAGAACTAGCACTTTGCACGACGTTGCGGGTTTTTGGATCTTCTGCAGTTGTGGGCCAACCCGAGACAAGGCTGGCAATCATCCCTGGAGCAGGAGGAACCTATAGACTTCCTGCGCTGATTGGGGTCAACCGAGCACGCGACCTCATTCTCACCGGTCGGCGAGTTGGTGGAGCTGAAGCATATTTTCTGGGACTGTGCAACCGGTTAGTGGAGATTACTCCTGAAGAAATGAACGAGGGCGGGAAGGCTCGGCAAAAGGTGCTAGCAGCAAGTCTACAACTTGCCAATGACATTTGTGAAGGAGGTCCCATAGCCCTCGCCCAGGCGATGCGTGCTGTCAATGGGTGGCAACGAGGCGAGGCCGCAGAAAACGAAGCCTATGAGGTCATTCTGAAGACGGAGGACCGAATGGAAGCGTTGAAAGCATTCGCGGAGAAGAGGAGGCCAGCCTTCAAAGGCAGATGAGACGCCAAATGCTAAAACGATGTGGTCTTGCCTTGCCCATGAGAGCTTCTGATATTCGTCTGTCCGTATGACTCTCGCCTTTACCAACACTGGCTGGGCCTTGGACCGTGGATCTTGTGATAATCACACGTGTGGAGGCCAGATTAGTCAAGGTTACGAGATTGTAATCATACGGAGTACGGTATCCTAGCCTGGGCCCTCTTCCATAAAATTTACTGAGCGTTCACGCAAGATCTCTGGTTTCGGCTTCGCCTCCCTCGCTTGAGGCTGTGCTGGCCCCCTTGAGGCTGCAGCACTTTCCCCACAAAATGGCCCCGAAAAAGGCGAAAAGCCCAATGCACAGGGGAGTCCGTATTGATTTGAAACCCCTAAGCCACCTGAAAGTCCAGGGACGAGCCGCCCAAAACTGCTGGCCTTCTCTTCTTGGGGAAGTCGGGACACGTCAACTTTCTTTGTCTGGGAATTATGCAGGTTGCATCCACCACTCCTATCGTCAGGCTACCAAGTCACCTGCACCCTCCCTTTCAATTCGACCGTGACTATGACTCCCTGGATCCAGTCCACCAGGTTTGAAATGCTACTTTTCAGCCTATATATGCACCGATGAGCTCGCGGGTTGTTCCCCAGCCGCATTTTCTTTCTGTTCGTTCTCCTGCTTCTGTTGCCTGCCTTCTCTCGTTTCCTCGATGTTTGGCCACTTCGCGCAATCCAAACGATGAGCTCCTCTGCTGGAAAACAGATCGTACAATATGGCCTTACAGAAGTCTTCTCGGTGGCAGACCCTCTAGTCGACGTCGTCTTCGTGCATGGATTGAACGGGCATCCCCACGAGACCTGGTCCACCAAAAAGCCGAACGTGTTCTGGCCTGCCGACCTCCTCCCTACGGCCCTCAACGAGCAAAGACCCCGAATTCTGACCTACGGCTATGATGCAAATGTGACCGCCTTCACAGATGGCGTCTCCAAAGATAAGATACACAATCACGCAGAACATCTCGCGAGCCGATTAGTAGCCAACCGGTCGGTAAGTGTGGGACAAGATCCAAGCACTGTTGCACAGTCGTTGTCGCCAGGATACTTAGTGCTAGGCGCATACTGACAGCAAGCAGTTGAGAAAAGCCACCGAAAGACCCATCATTTTCGTCTGCCATTCCCTCGGAGGCCTGGTGGTCAAAAGATGTTTGATATACTGTCAGAGCATTCGACATCACCAACACACCGAAAGACTGCGATCAATTTATATCAGCACTTACGGCATTCTCTTTCTTGGAACTCCGCACAATGGTTCTGACCTCGCAAAATGGGGCTCTCTGCTGGAGAAGATCTGTGCTGTTGCACTTCCCAAGAAATTCTTCGACACATCTCCGCAACTGGTGCATGCATTGCAGACTAACAATGAAACGCTGCAGAATATCAATAGACTCTTCATCGAGATCATAGGGCGGTTCCACATCTACTTCTTCCATGAGTCGAAGCCTACCGACTTGAAGGGGACTCGAGTATTCGTCGTCGAGGAGGATTCTGCTGCCCCCGTCTTTGAAGGAGTTGAAAGAACGGGCATTGAGAAGGACCATAGGTGAGGGGCAGCCAAACATCTGCAGGCCTTAGCTGATCGCTAAACCCTTTTTCCACAGCCATATGTGCAAATTCGAGAACGAATCAAGCCCTGGTTACGATGTCGTCGCCGAGGCTATCCAAAGGTAAAACAGGCCAAAGGGGAAACAAAATGATAATGCTTAAATCGTCTTAGATACGCCATTGGTGCTCAATCTCTCATCCGTTCCCGTTGGGAGGAAGAGAAACGAGTAGCTGAATTTGAAAAGCAAGCCGCTGCACGTGAATTGTTGGGTGGTGAGTACGTGAACCCCAAATTTGCGCCCACAACGATGCTGATCCCTTGCAGATAGCATTTTCCAACGGAGCGCAGGGGCGTCGGGCACGGTTACACCGTCTACCGGAATCGCGCAAACGAGCCAGTCAAATCCAATGAGTGCGCCTCCTCCCAAACAGATCTCCGCGTCAGCTTCACCCCCGTATGAGGTTGAAGAAGTCGACGAAGATTTTGTCACTGCACCTCGTTGATCAGCCAACTTTGGTCAGTGGCCTGAATGAAGCTCTTTGACGCTGACTCATGACGGTTTACAGAGGACTCTACAAGCTCAATTCGAATGATTGAACAATCTTTAGCATACTCCTCTACTTCCCTCGTTGTTGCTCCAGTTGGCTTCCGCCCCAATTCAATTTTCCTTGGCTTTCAGTTGGAAATGGACCAGCTGGTTCAGAAACTAGCAAACCAGAAAAGACGAGCTTTGGGAACATGTGCCGTTTTGCTGTGGGGTCCGCCGGGTTGTGGAAAGAGTCAGATCGCACGAGAATATCTGTGGCGGCATCGAAGTGAGTACCCAGCTGGATGCTTCTGGGTCGACTCCAAGACCAAGGAATCACGATCGAAGAGTTTCTGGGATATTGCTCAAGCTGTCGCGATACTTGGAAAAGACGAACCACGAGACCCGGGGTGGGATGAGTCGTCAAGATTTGTCGACACGGTTCGGAAATGGTTTGAAACCCGAGAAGGCTGGCTGCTCATCTTTGATGGAGTGACGACTGATAATGACGACGACATCGAAGCCTTTGTTTCTTACATTCCGGATCGGTCAGGCAACAACATCATCTACACATCGGTGGATCGAACGCTGGCAAAGCGGCAGAGACTACTCAATCCGGCAGGCGTTAAAGTGTTCCCGTTGTCACAACATGATGCATGTGCGCTCCTCTACAAGAACCTTGGGATCAGATCACCAAATGAAACGCAGGTCAAAAAAGCGACCCAGTTAGTGAAGCACTACGAATGCCTACCTCTTGCTGTCCACGCTGCCGCTCATGCCTTGATCGCAAGGGGGACATCGCTCGAGAAGTTCAGTCCCGGAACTTCCGATCACCGGCTTGCGGACCCCTATCTTGACATCATCTCAGCCCTGAGAGAGCATTCGCACCCCGAAGCCGTCAATCTGGTTACAGTGCTTAGCTTTTTCGCGCACGTGATACCAGTCGCTCTCATTCGCTTTGGACAACCTGCTTTGCAAGAATTTGGTGTTGAGATCCGTTCTATTGAGCAGATAGGAAGTCTGAAGAAAGAATTAGACAACACGATTGCAGTTCTTATACGGTATGGGCTGGTCGAGCGGACGTTGCAAGAATATTGTGTCACGCCATCAAAAGCGTCTTTTGCGCCAGAAGAATCGGAGAGGACGCGAGCTAATAGTAATGGTACTGTTGGTACAGCCCGGACCACAGCTGAAATGGAGCGACTCGAACCGCGATTGCTCAAGGATGACTCTAGCAGTCTGGAAGGGTTAGTTGAGGCTCATGCGGACAGCAAGTTGGATGGGTCATCTTCGCAGTCGGTGACCTACAGCATTGACATTCTCCGCATCCACAGCGTTGTGCAAAACGTACTCCGGGATGAACTGAAACTTCGATATGCAGATCAGCCAGCACATTACTGGTGGTGGCTCTGCGTCGCCTCAAAAATGTTGTGCCACTCCTATACAGTCGCAGATGGCAAGATTAAAAGCACCGATGGACGAGGTCTTGTGCGCGACTATCGCGACTATGAGACGCAGGCAGCCCGTCTATGGTCACATTTCCCCAAATCGTCCTCTGATGCCTCGCCAACCCTGCGCAAGACACGGCACAATCTTCACGAAACGATCAGATCGATCAAGAAAGAAATCCAGAGCCAATCTCCATCACAATCTATTGATAGTCTTCACCATCGAGTACAATTCTCCGTATTTGAGCGAGCCAGCAGCACATCTTCAGACAGTCCCGGTACCGAAAGCAGTGCTCTGACCAGGACATCCACCTGGACGCCTGAACATACCGACGACCAAACTGAATCGCCAATCCAATTGCATCTCGGGCTGAACTTGGATGATGAAGAGTCTGAGGGGAGCTGGACTGACAGATGGTCGCAATCTGGAATGGACAACTCTAAAGTCCTGATCCCAAGCACGAACCGAAGCCGGCGCCCGAGCAATTCTGACATGTATACGATTACACCCACAGAAGCCAGCTTCGGCACTACCCGTCAATCCTCGGTGCTGCAGGCGATATTTCAAGGGCGGCCTGCCCAGTCCAAAAGCCCTAGGGACCTTGGAGAGTGGAAACCCATGCCAGTTCCGCCCACAGTATCCCACGAACAGGCACAGATCCAGTCGAGAGCCTCGTCGTTCACGAGCGGCAGCGATGACCGGACCGCGAGGCCCACCTCTACAGGATCTGAAGCATCAGGAGCTCTGGCAGCCATTCACCGAGCCAGTCCACCACCCACAAGAGGAGGAAGGATAAAATCACCTACGCGTCTACAATGTACAAGGCCGACATCAGACGAAGGACGTGTGCCACTATCCATTAGATCTCCCAACCAGAAAATATCACCCCTGACCACAGAGTTTCTCCCAAGTTTATCTCTTCCAACATATGATTCGTCCGAAATGTCTCGAAGGCATAGTAGGCACCCCTCTTCATCGCCGCGATTGATGCAAACTACGTTGAACAATCAAGCGGTAACGAGGATTGTCCCGTCAAGCTCCGGGGACGAGAATTTCTCTCTTCCCCAGCCTCCAAAATTTTCCGGCATGCAGCCACGCCTCAAGCATGTTCCAGCTCAAGAAGGTGATGGTCGGCTTTCTGCGAAGTCCGCCCGAACAGGCTATAGCTCGCAGCCCATGTCCCGAGATACATCTAGGGATTCGAATACATCACATGCAACAGCGCCTCCAGCAGTACCGGGTTCGGCGTCACTTAGCACGTCTCCGCAAATACGGGAGCCTTATCTATACAGCAGACCGGGACTAGCCTCCATTGATGTGGCAACAGCAAATTTGTGGGACGACGAGTTGGCTGCTGTTGGTGATCTGGGTAATATCTCTCCGTTGGCATCTAGTATATCCTTCAACGGCGGTGACATTTTCGAGAGAGATCACGAGAGACTCGGGAGCAGTGTTCAGTTTGGGCAGATGTCTCCAGTAGAACTTGATAGAGCACGAGCGCGTGTCTCATTGGCTCGCGGACGGAGTATGGACGGGAGGTTGCAGAAAAGCAACAGCGAAAGAGCCATTCCAGAAGTGGATAGGATTTGACTGCTTCAGTGCATAGCGAGGGAGGCATGGTAATTCATAAAGAATTTACTACACCAGAATGCAACACCAGCGGATATTTAGAAGTAACTTCCTTCCGCTCGACTGCAAACGTGCCTTTTGCTTAGCACTCAGCAGCAGTTCTCTTTCTCGTCATCCATTCTTGGGCATCCTCGGACCCCTTGTGAGGCTTGAACTTCACCGATCGGTCCCTAACAGAAGTGGATTGCACGTCACCAACCACCGACCTGTACCCCGTACATGTCAATTGAAGCATGGGTTCGGAGACCAAGAAAGCGTAGCATTAATGCCCTAATGCTAGGGACGGCAGAAAGAGTTCAACTGGATATGTTCGGAAAGAGTGGTTCGATTTCGGATTGAAAACACCCTGATATTGAACCCGATTCAATCATGGGACGATACCATGTCATGGATGATGCACGGAGCTGGCGAAAGGGAGTCGGTGCTGAAGGTCTCGAGACCTCCCGCTCCTTCCTATCCCTCGGCATAGCCTCGGTGAATACTATTTTTAGACTACTGACTATCTGTCGATATATCATCACTGGGGCCTTGCGAAGTGAGAGTAGTCAGCGAACAGTCGTGCTCACCTTCATCTCAGCTCTTCCAAGCCGCATAAATATTCTCCGGCCTGCAGAAGGCGCTTCTAAGATGATTTGAGAATCTCACAGGTAATATCAGTAAATTTAATCTCGGACAATCGCACCATGGCGTCTCAGGATCCTTCTTTGCATCTACCACGCATTCTCTGCATTCACGGCGGTGGCGTGAACGCTGCGATATTCAAAGCACAGTTTCGCGCATTCCTCGGCCACGAAAAGCTAAGGAACCGATATCGGTTCGTCTTCGTGGACGCTCCATTCTTCTGCGACGAAGGGGTCGGGGTGCATCCCGTGTATTCGGACTGGGGCCCTTTCCGAAGGTGGTTCCGCTGGCTTGAGTCTCACCCAGAGATCGACGCAGCAGCTTGTCAATACGAGTTGGAATACACTATTGATCGCTGCATGGAGAGTGACGAGGGAACAGGAGAATGGGTAGGGACCCTGGGCTTCAGTCAAGGCGCAAAACTAGCAGCGAGCCTTCTTTACGAGCAGCAGATCAAGGAGAAAAACGGGCCCTGGAAGTTTGCAATCATTCTGGCCGGACGGGCCCCCCTGGTCAGTTTGAGTGAAGAGGCTGAAGAATTGCCATGGATGCAATCAGCAGGCGGTCTCGCTGACGCCGCCGACCTCGAAATCATCCTCGAGCGGCCGGATATGAAGCTGAGAATTCCGACACTACACGTTCACGGCCTCAAAGATGAAGGCCTCCATCTCCACAGGAAGCTGGTTGAAAACTACTGCGCGCCCGGAACGACGACGCTTATTGAATGGGATGGGCCACACCGCATTCCCATCAAGAGAAGCGATGTCGACAAGATAGTCGATGCTTGGATCGAACTTGCCGATGAATATGGTGTCTGATTTTAGTTTGACCAAGTTAAGAAGAGCCTATCCCTTGATAAATACAGCCACTGCCTCCAAATACCTTCTGTAGTTGTCAATGTTTGCTGCTATATCTTTAGACAATTAAATCATGGGACCTTGGCTGGGGTACCCCTCCCGGAAGTCGGCTCGAGGATTGAAAGGGATCCATCATCAGATGAGTAAAACGCAATAGAGTCTTGTCTATCACCGCTTGGAGACAAAGGGACGTTATTATCCTAACAGGATGTTCCCGACTTATGGGGAAAGCGAGTCATATGCCTTGCAATTGGCCTCACAGTTTCACACCTGCTCCAGGAGGTCCAACTCCTTGTCCTTCAGAAGTTCCTCTTCCTTCCTTTCCGATCTCCCAGCCTCGGCCTCGATAACGTTCCGGCCAGATACCACATCTCCCTGGCGCGAGAATGCCATTCGGATCTAGAGCATCCTTCAGTTTTTCATTGAACTTCATAAGAGCATTATCGTTCCAGTTGTATGTCCGGGCGACCTGGTCTTGGAAGAGGAGATGGGTGCGATACTCCCCGTAGCCTTGTTTCGCTGCATCGTCGATCATCGACCGCATGCATTTTTCGACGGCCTCTCTCCTTTGGACGCTCCCCCGGTCATAAATCACGAGGTTGATCATATGAAGTTCTCTCAGGCCCACACAGAATGCGATAAAGAGATCGATTGCGTGCTCGTCATGCCTCTTTTTGGCTATTTTCCAAAGCTTTAGGGCGTCCAGTCCTCGAGTGGGTGAAACAGGGCTGAATCCTAGATGGGCTCCGTTGGGAACCCAGTTCATATACGAAAGCTCTTCGAAGTCTGGTTCACCTCCAGCAATTCTGGCCCGAGACCAGAAATAGTGGTCCTTTGGCAACGTCTGAGTATCAATCCTTTTGGCGCCAGGGATTTTGGTGAATTCTCGATGGACAATGTCCAGTTTGTATTTTCGAATATTTTCAGGCCCATAGCTAGTCCCATAGTATATCCAGGAACATCGCCCAAGCGGCGTTGACTCAAGATGGGACTGCAGCACTTCTTCGGGTATCGGCCCGGCGCCTTGGTAATAGTGTGAGCGTGGGAGCCCTGAAACGGCCAGCTCCACGGTGCTGTGTCTGATTTGCGCCACATTCTCGAGCAAGTTGGCAATTCTCAACGGTCGAACAATATCGATCTGATCTATAGTTTAGCAATCGTCAACACCGTGTAGAGGCTCAACGTACCAATAGCAAGAGGTCATCTTCGCGCTCGAAGGTATACATCTTTCGAAATCAGTCGACCGCGGACGGGCAAGACTCAAGAGCCAAAGAACTCAGATCACTCACAAAACTCTCGCAGCCCCCGGGATCTGGCATCAGAGCCACGCCCATTTTCGTGACCACTCCAAAGTTTGACTGAGAAAAGATCCCACTGCAAAGTCCTATCAGTTCTCGGTATTGGAAAGAACCATCGGAACATCCGGCATACTCTGATATTGGCCCAAACCCGTAAGGAAACGTCTGCCAGGTATTGTTGCCCGGAAGAGCTCCCATACCAGTTCTGACCAGGTCACCGGTTGGAAGAACAACTTCCAGGCCCGAATGAGTCGACCAGTGATCTCCATATGGCGTGTAGCCGACTCCGTGCTCCAGAGTATTCCCAATAATCGACCCACCTCCAAGGTCTGGCGTGTCCACCCACATCGTATATCCTCTCTTTTTGATCTCTTCGTATAGTGCGTAAAAAGACACCCCCGGCTCGACCAGACATGTGCAGTCATCCGGATCAATGTCCAAGATTTTGTTCATCCGTCTGCCCAGATCAACAACGACTGATCCTCGAACGCGGGGTGCGGCTCCTCCATAGCCCACTGTCGAGTCCATTAGCGATTCACTCCAGGGAAGGACATGATGGGAGGCAGCAGGTACAGTTTCGTCCCATGGAGATTGGATACAAGGGAACAAGGTGTTTGTTGGCCCACTTCACCACAAGTTGAACGTCGTCAACGCTGCCGGGATAAACACAAGCTGACGACACCGTCTCTTCTCCGTCCATGATCATGTAAGAATCGTGCGTGTTGGGCTCTAGTTCATATATCAACCTTTGCAAACTCTTGCTTACAGGCTAAACATACGCTCCAAGTACCTAGGCAGGGGATCAGCTGTCTGAATGCACGTGGTCCGGTGCTTGGAAGGGGGTAATAACTAACCAGCCATCTTCAAGAGGCTGATCATTCAATACTACGTGCTCCTTGCCGAGGGTTTGCGCCAACTCCTCCAGCGCCTGGAGAAAGTCTGAACGACCAATGCCGGGGGGAATGGCCAAGCCTCTTTCCCTCGGAGTTTGGGCCTCTTTTGTTTGATTTTTCCATATCCTCGATTTCTCGCGGATGGCCTTGTGCAGCAGCCGTTCTGGGATTCCCGAATATGTCGCAGGATACTGTGGGAGCACCACCCCTGAACTGGAGGACGTCGACATTATGCTATGCACAATGCAAAACACGGTCCAAGACAGCAGGATCAAGACCATAAATACTTGGTACTTACTGATGGTCTGTCATGTGGAGAGGTGGACCTTTGGTCACGTCCCAGGCTATACCGACCGCCACCACCATGACCCTCACTCTTCTTTACCCCATGATGTGGAGAAGTGGAGAGGGAACTGTCCAGATTTGTACCAGCAGGGCCAGAAACCTTGCTCGCTTATTCGCGCTCAACCAGCGAGCCGGATCCAAAGATAAGCGACACGGTTCGACAGGAAATATACATTTCAAGACTGCTCAGTAGTAACGAAGCAGCCGCCATACAGAATATAAACTAACACTGGAGGATAACGACAAAATACCGCTATTACTGAATATAAACAATATGTTTGTAGTGAGCGAAGGGTACCTTCGATCCAATAGTGCATCACTCTACTTTGTCAGACTGTGGCACTTAATTTTGAATCCGGCTGGCCAGGTCGTAGTCTGTGTGGGACTAACCCCACCACTGGACAAGGACTGTAGGGACACGATACCGAGGGATCAAAGGATAGGCGTAGACGAAAACGAAAGCGGAAAGCGAAACAAGTGGGATTGAACGATTGTAAGGCAAGAAGACATTCCTGGATTCAGGCTAAACTACCGAGCATGACGGAAGTGGTCGTCTACAGCTGTGTAGTGGCTGAATCACACTGGCGTGGTTAATCCGTCAGAAAAATGCAATTGTGCGAATCTCGACGCTCTCACGGATTGGTGCATCAGACGGAGAAGAGGGATCTTCGAATGCGCTGTGGCCAACAAACCGAGCGCGCCCATCCATTTGCGAATCGTACGTCTTCATGGTAATAACTTGTTCCGGAGTCATTTTCGGGAAATACCACCACTTATGGTTCGGTGAATATCGCATGACATAGTTCTCCCCAACACGATCGCGATACTTGAGATACAACTTAAAGAAATCCTCCATGGGAGCCGAGGAGACGTCGCACATGGCCAACGGTCGCTCCTCCACAGTATGGTAAAGCGGCTTCCATACATTGAAGAACGCCACGCGCCGAGAAAGGAGATCCTCAGCCTCATCTTTCAGCAGTTGGCGAACACGGGCAGGACCGGACTCTGCAGTGTAGTCGCAATGGACCAGCATGACGGGAGCCCGTTGAGAAGTGTTTGTCTCTTGGGTCAGCTTCTTTGCTTCATTCCGCTTCGTGCGGATGGTATGGTCAAACACAAGAATGCGCTTAGCGCCTGTGGCGTTCTTGAGGAATTCAACCATCTCAGGGTAGAACTGCTCGCGAACGGATTCCTCGTCCTCCCAGTTGTTAAATCCGGTCTTGAATTGACGAAGAGAAAACCCTTCCTTATCGACGGAGAAGGAGTCGGCTCTGTACCACCCGTCGGTAACTGTCATCTCGTGTGGATCGTCCCCAGGCTCATGAATATCCTTTTCAGCCTCACAATCGTAGAAGTAAAGCTCGGTCCGCTTCTCAACGTCCTTCGTGTAGTTGAAATTGGCTCGGACAGCTCCGGCCGCGCCATTGGTAGTAGCTTTACCTGGCAACAAGGCTTTGTCGACAGCAACTTGAGTATTCTGCCACTGAGGCAGCTTCTCGATTTGCTCCGTCATCCAACGTGTAAGATTGGGATACTGGTCGAGGGGGAGACGTTGAGCGGCATGTAAGTGCATAGGTGCAGCAACGGCGATATCGGCGATGGTGATATTGTCACCAGTGAGCCACTTGGTCTTCGACAGCTGTGCATCCAAGATTGCAGCGTGCTTGTGCCAGTTCGGAGCTTCAACATCAATGACTGATTGATCGGGTTCGGCCTTGAGCAGCGGCTTCACCACATATTCAACCAGATAGACGTAGCAGCTGGGAAACCAAACTGATGCTTCCCAGAGAAGCCAGCGGTTCACAGCACATCGCTGTTTAGCATCCTTCGGGTACATTGAACCACATTCGTCAGCGGCGTACTGCAGAATGGCATTGGATTCGGTGATCTTCAGATCCCCGTCAACCGCAGCCGGCACAGTACCATGTGGGTTGATTTGTAGGTATTCGGGACTCTTGTGTTGACCAGTGAAGTAGTTGATATGGTTGAAATTGTATTTTGTGCCCAGGAGGTCGAGGCCGGCCAATACTTTGCGGCTATTGACCGTGCAAGGATCGCAGTACACTTCAAGCATGTTCTTGATATTCTGATATCCTGGGGTTTTTGGTAGACCAAAGCTGGCAAGGAAAATTGACGGCCCAAATATCAGTATTACTGACAAGAATGAACTGAACCAGATGTCCGAGTGACCTCAAGCTGTTATACTTACTACCCCGCGTCTTACTAGAGAGACTGTTTCGGGGCGACGGAAAACCCAACGGATAATCCAATCGTAGGCTGCAACAAGAAAGACCAGATCTCAGATGCGATCGGTCAAGCGGTCATTAGACGAGAAATTCGTATTGTAGAGGCACCACTGTCAGGCGGACCGCATGTTTTTGCCAGGAATGTTTGGGGCGGGGGTGTTCATCGTTGAAGGTCGGCTTCCTAAACTACCTCCACCTTTTGCAGTCCATTAATTGCGTTGATGATGATGGGTTGGCCTAAAGACCAAAAGATCTCTCGCAGAGGCGATTGTGCCGCCACTGCACAGACAACTTGTTGACCTGCCGAGAGAGGCTTCAGCGTGTCGATAGTCCTCAGAATACTCGTGAGACTGGGTCCCAACTACTCTGGACCTCGAGACAATCGGAACCCAACCACAATGACGTGAAAACTCTTAGTAGAAAGCTTCTCGAGCTCTCCTCAGGCATGGTGCCGCAAAACGACGATCATTGGCCCAGTGCAAAAATCTTGGCCAATCAAGAAGTGTGTTATCCGAGGGCACCAGAAGGCAGAGCGCCCAGACTGTCTCGGCCATTTACGAGGCACAATTTTGCAGGGATGCAGCCCAGGTCGGCCGCGGAGTGTCCCTGCCTGGAGGTGATGCGATGGCCTTCCTGTCTGGTTGCAGCTGTTGTGTTAGTCCTGGACACGAAGGTGTAGAAGTATTGGGTTTAGCGTTCCTCGAGAGCAACTGGTCTTGCTGCAATCCATCGCGCGATATTGAAAGGCTGGCAACCAATAACCATCGCTCCGGGGATGGTTTTGGCGTGCAATCTGTCAGATGCAATGTCTATCCTAAACTTGATGCTTCGACATGAAAACGCGCTCCCTGTCTTTTGTCAATCACTCCGCGCGACTGATTCTTCCTGAATCTGGTGGGCTTGATATTGCAACTGCCCCAGGTCCGGCTGTGGCATGGGCTGGTCGGAGATGTGCCAGCGGGAACGATCGGAGCTCGTCTCCTGCTGTGTGCGAGGCGCCACTCTCTAAGTCGATAGACGACGGCCAGCCACCATTGAGTGGACCTCCGTCAGATGTCCTTGAGTGTGATCGTACTAGACTAAAATGGGAATGAGGCAGAGAGGATGGATGGAACCCGGACATGTGAGATTTTCTCCGAGAGTCGAGACTGGGAGAAGGACCTACCCAACAGTAGGATGAATGTGGAAGAAGTTGGACGATGGCTGTAACAAAAGTCGATTGATAGGAGTACGAGGTACGAAGTGAGAGGAGTGCCGAGTATTGTGGCGCGCTAGCGAGAAGTATCCCTAGGGCCACTACCGAGTAATACACGCTAAGTACCAAGGTAGGCTGCGGCATCACTTTTCTTCCAAGTAACGCAATATCTGCCACATGCCCATCTACGACCTGCCATCTTCCACGAGCCACGATGCTGTGACGGTTCTCGCACATCACGATCGACATCAACCATAGCAGGATCTGAACCCAACCTGATGATCTTGCTTCCAACCCAGTGAAATCCTTCACAGGTCTAACCTGAGACCCACCCATCCGCTTAACCATTAGCATCCACAAAACTAGCCCCTGTCGGACCGAGCAATTCCTTGCACATATCAAGCGAATAGCGCCGATCAATGTGCACATCCCCGCAGGTCGAAAGCCCCGGAATATCTACTGCCTCGAGGAAGATGTTGGTCGCAACCAAGGGTCATGCGGCTCTCAGAGCCGTGGAGTCTCAAGTGAATGTGAGACTGTCAATAGTCCTCACACACAACACAGGCAGTCCACAAGGAGAAATCAAGATTAAGATCTCTGCATAACCAGCAAGCTGAATTGAAAAATAAGCGACCCATTCTGATCCAAAAATACAGACCCGCATCCAATGTAGGCAGAGACAGCTCAATAACGACGAAGGGGTCGCTAATATGAATGTAACTTTCGGTGTAGGTAAAGGATAGAGTACCTATTTCCAAGGGAAACGGAATACTCGCTACCAACGCAGGCCGTCTCTGTTCTAACAAGGGAGGTCTTTGAGAGTGCCTCTTATTTTCAATTCGGCGTCAGGTCACGTCCTTGCTTAAAGGCCTCATTACAGCTCTATACAACAATCCAACCAACAGGACAATTACCCTTGCAATCCACACAAGGGCCCTTTGAATCCGGGAGTTTGTTTTGACGATCTGAAATCTGGACCTGGAATTGTGCATTTCAATTGACAGCAACAGATGTCACTCTAATGTGAGAGGAGCAGAACAGATGCACTCTTTGCTCTTGGCCGTCATTGGGCTAAATGAAATGGCCCAGGCTATGCATCGGCCATAGAAATTCTCGCCGAGAAACAGCGTTCGTGGTTCAACGGTCGACTCTTCTTCACGTCCCTCACGTCGCGCCCTTGCTCAATACTCACTCTCAGGCCACCATGGCGGTACATTGAGCCACAATAAAATTCGAATACAAGAGTCTCGGGTCGAGTATCGCGCCCTATCGCAAGGTCCATGATACCAAAATTGGGCCAGTCTCAAGGAAGTTTATTGTTCTCGAAATGGACGAGCCCGGAAATCTGGCAGGTGAGCACCTGTTTGGCGAAACTGTCGTCAGAAGGAATCTTACACTCGGGTGACTTACAGGTTAGTATAAAAACACCATCTCCTCGATTGATATCGTGGCCAACAGATCAGCCACGCCGTTCGGAAGCCATAATCTAAGTACAGCAAAGTCCGTTGAACTTTGTCACCAAGCACTCCTCACGATGAAATCCGTCCTGCTAATCATCCTTTTTGAAGCTTTCGCTGCTAAAGCTAGACCAGGGTCATCATTTCCAGACTTGAATACAGCAGGCTTCCTTGGCCCCTCGATATCATATTCGTCGGGCAGGAGCGCAATCTGCGCCTCAAGTCTCGTCCCCGTTCACACTGCCACCGATCGCGACTTGAACCTAGATCTTCCAGGGAATATCACCAAGACGCAAGCGGTTGATCTTATTCTTGCATTCAGTACAGCCAATTCTAGCTTAGCAGCGACTGTTGCATCGTCAGAACGGCACGTTGGTGGGATTTTTGACATAAGCGCTCAGATTTGTTATCCAGTTTCCTAACTGAACACATCAGTCGTCCAATTCTGAACACACGGTGTGGCCTTCTCAAAAACATACCGGACTTTGTCTCTCCAAATGACAGCCACATCGATTCAGCTACTTTGGCCAGCCATGCCACCTTCTCGTATGACAGGCTCGGAATTTCCGACTCCTCATCTCCCGATCCCATCTAGGTTGTTCAAGGGCCTTTGCAAATCGCGATTGCGCAGTCCCTCTTGGAAATGCTCGGTAATGGGACCTTTTCCAATCGCAACTTCAGCAGTGTTATCCGTGTTGATCGTTCTTACGGTTCAGCTCTCACAACTTCAGTCGCATCTAAATTTCCTTTGGCGTTTGATGCCGTTGTTCTCACTGGATTTTCCATCACACCACCGCCGGGATCCAATTCGCAGCTTCGTTGAATCTCGAAGCTGCTTCCTCATCTCAGATTTAACCTTTCCCAGGAGAAGCAAGTGGATAATTACTTCCCAGTACCGAGTGTGGCGTGCAGCACTCATTTTTCCGTTATCCTGACTTCGACTGGAACATATTAACCAAATCTTTCGCCACGGTACAGGCAACGACATTGGAGGAACGCTTTACTTTCTCAATGCGTCGGTCGTCCAGCACCAAATTTTACCAGCCCGGTACCTGATAGGTGGGGAAACCAATCTCTTTTTCTGTGACGGCGACTGTCTGTTTCCTTTGGACATTCCTTCTGCATCACTTATATTACTGTTTCCCAAAGCTAGGAACGACTCGACGACATTTCTCCCTCCCGGCAGTTGTCACAGCGTCAATCTCGCTGCCAAAGCACCTCTAGCATTTGACCAAATACAACCCTTTATCAGCTCGTTGGGACTTTAACTTCGCTCCTACGACTCGAGAGGACGCTTTTCAAGGCACCATGATCTCCCTCGTTCTTGAAAAGTGCCGATAAACATCAGTTTTCATTGGTCTCTCCCGTCTAGTTATCAGAGAATCTATGGGGTTTTCAATATCGCGCTTGTTGCCAGTCGATATTCTATTGGTGCAAAGCAGTCAGGCCGATGACGTCCTGCGAAATCGTCGTCCACCTATGCATCTATCTTCCCGGTCGTTTCAGTCAATCCTCTGTACATCTCCTCCTCGACCTCTGCCAGCCTTGAATGTTTCAGTTTCCCATTCTTCAAGCCGTACCAGTCACAAAACATCATGATCATCGGCTTCCATTTGTCTGCGTCGTTACGGTTTCGAAACCCATTGAGTCTAAGTTCCTCGTAAGAGCTGACTCGCAGGATCCTGACTTCGATCGCGAGGACTAAACCCTGCACGGACCTTCCTCCATACATTTCATTTACAGCCACCACTTGTGCCTCCATGATAACGGGGCATTCTTTTGATTCCAGGAGGTGCGATGTTTTTTGAAGGGAGAGAAGTCAGCCCAACGCATCCGAATTTGTCCTTGACGAATTGATACCCTCTGTCCTGCTTCGAGGCTCGTGCTGAGTCCGTGCCAATCGGTCGAGCCAACGCATTGACACTCGCTGCCATGCTGTCTGATGCAAGATTCAATACACATTGCTTTGTGCGAAGCATGTTCTGCGTGGTTTGGGAAGAAGCGTCGAGTCCAACCATGCATCCGTGCCCGAGCCACCACGCTAATGACATTGGGCCTATGTTGGCACTCCCATCAGGGTTCATAGTGCTAATCAACACTACCGGTGTACCCCAGTAAAGTATTGCCGGCGAGATCTCATCATGGGCCATGTCGGATGCGACAATCAAGGAGTAACAAATCCTTCATGACTTGAAGAAGGCGAACTTAGTCCAACGAGCTCGGTAGCGTTGCAATGACTCTTCAATGTCTTCATCCCCGGCCGTGGCTCTCGGTTTTATACCCTCGTTTAAGGCTGCTTGGTTTTAACGGCAACAAGTCTCGCTCCGACATGACTCATTACACCGCGCGTATACAATTTCTCGTTGTTCATGGCTGCGGATGTCGGCACCATCAAAAGAACAGTCTTGATATCTACATAAAGCGTAATAGCGTCCTCGTTGTACCGAGGCGGCCAGTGTAACCGCAAACGGCATACCAAGCACGCCTGTGATTGGTCACTTCAAGAGCAAAAAGAGGATTCAGGCATCCGTGTGAGCGTCAATAGTTGAGATTCTTGTTAGCTTCCCGCGAAGGCGATATCTACCTCTCCCAATCCTAGGACTGACATTTGCTCCTTCATGAATTTGTATCAATGTAACGCCAAAGTTGTCTGTATCCCCAGCGAGAGAAAGCTGGGAATGTGCCGGGAGAACTCCGCTATACGCTTTCCTTCCGGGGCCGCGTTGCTCTGGTTATTACTAATCAGACCAAAGTTGCCATTTGGTCTGGATGAACAGAAACACCTTCGGGGCTTCCGCCTTCAAGAACTCTATCCACATCGCACCGTCCATCTGCCCACCACGAAGATAAGGCTGACAGAATGCGCATCAAGAGCAGTTACCAGCAAGGAAAACTCTACCAACATGATCGCCGCCCAGGTGAATATCAAAGTCCATCGAACTACTCGAATTTTACGATGTCAACATTCAAAAGGCCCCGGTTCAAAACCTCACAGTGCATTGAGGATGCCCCCATCGCCTTTCCCAGACCCCAAGGCTCGGCGGTCTGCAGTTGTTTCTCGAAACCCTGACGCAGGAGGAGAATTTGTGTACGCTGTCAAAACAACCGGCATCTATTGTCGGCCCGATTGCAAAGCTCAACTGGCGCGTCGAGCGAACATAGTCTTCTATGACAGCGGGCTGCTTGCCGAGGAGGCCGGAGGCCGGAGGCCGGATACAGGGCATGCAAACGCTGCAAACCGAATTTGCTGGTATCGCAAGTGGAGGATCCTTTTCAGGCTAAGATTCGTCATACTGTGGATTTGGTCAAGGTAACAGCCTCTCGGAGTCCAAAAAAAAAAAAAAAAGGTTACAGCAGCTATCATACCAGGTCCGGCTCAGCAAGTAGTATCTTCAGCGAGTGTTCAAGAGACTACAGAGATTATCGCCACCCGAAATGTCCAAGACAATAATCAACGCGATAGAAGGCGGGACAGAAGACAGCCCCCAGCCATGCGCATCTCAGCCAGAAAATATAGCCCCTGACTGAAGAGGAGCTCTATTTACTGGGGACTGATCCACAGATCGAGTTGTCCCGAAACGTCCAAGCAGACGATGGATTTATTCAGGAAGATTGGCTTCAGTATGGCAACAAAGATGTGGATGACGTTCTGCGAGATTTCTTTCCTGGACTTTACAGGAGGGGTCAGGATAGGGAGCAAAGAGTTTCGGAGGACGCTAATTCGCTTCGGAAGCCCTGTTCTCTAGAGTTTCCACATGGATTCGACCAAGATTAAATTGGCGAGCATTGTGTCGACGGCATTTTCAATCACGGCGGCCTGGCGGGCTGTAGTAAAGATACGGAGGCCATTTATCTGAGGAATGGATGATGCAGTGACAACGGCAACTGATGATGGAATGGTTGGTAAATGCATGCGTATGAATACAGCCAACTGGGTTGCGCGAAAAACTCAGCTGCCTGGTTTATCGCCTTTCGCGTCAACGAGAAAGAGAATTAGATAAGGATTTGCTGCTCTATATGTGGTTAATGGTATCAATATCGGTTTCTACAACTCAAGCTAAGAGCTTGGGGTCCGTTGGCTGTCATGCTCTGGACAACATTGACAACTGGTACTGCCGCTGGGTCATCTCAGCTTTGGTCTCGTCAGGGTTCCCTATATGGGCGAAGTCGAGGGAATCCCTGTTGCATGCTTCATTGGTCACACCTGGCACCGATTCTGGTTCCATGGAGGAAACGTAAGCGGCTCAAGATCGACGTACTTGGTAGAAGCTGGCAAGCCCGATTAAAAAATAACTGGCACAGTCTGTCGCGTAAACATACCTCAAGTTTGCGCAAGGACTTCCAATCGACCGCTATGTCGAATGTAAATTGACAGTGTAGGACGCTTGACAGGGGCCGCCTTGTCCAAGGTAAAACGGGATACTCATTACCAGCGAAGGCCACCTCCGTCCTAACAGCCAACGTCTTTTGAGTGTGCTAGTTACTTTTCAATTCGGCATGCCAGGTACACATATTCCATACAATACTAAGCTCTCTAGGTATCTCGACAACATCGTCCCTCGTCCGTCAATCTACGTGACTCAATGACTAGATATCCGTACCCATCTATCTGTCCTGATGACTTCTCTGTTCTAGGGCTATTCCACATGACCTCTGCCACGAAACACTGGCGATGGGTGGTATCATAAAACACAACGAACCAGATACTGAAGAAATAGAAAACTCCTCTCAAGAAGAAAAAAAGCATCAGGCGAAACATGGACAAGGACTATAAAACGCCGCCAATGCCGCTAGAAGGCAACATACAATCATCTGCAACATCGTGATAAATAGCATTACAGACAGATATTCCATAACATCAGAAACTGGAGCGCATCAAGTCAGAACCCACTCACTTCCTCTTTTCAGGAATTTGTCGACCATCACCATCAAATCCGCCATCACGAACCGAATGATGAAGAATGCAAAGAACTCCGCAGCATTCTTAACACCCAACTCCAACCCGACTTGGGTTTTGTTACTGCATTTCAGTCCAGGGTCTTCTACTTGTCGAGCGATTCCATCGAGCACTTGCGCCGCGTCAAAGAGGCGTGCTAAGCTTGACATGTAGGTCGCGAGGACCGGTTGAACGTTGGTCAACTGTGTCGGTGTAGGCGGCGGTGCGATCTTGCGGTTCAGATGTGACCGCGATGAAGGCACAGACGAAGACGAAGTCATCGGTAAAGAGGTCATGCTTGGACTAGACGTAGACCCGTCCTTCTGCCCACTCTGATTTCCCATAGCTGGGGCACTTGATTTGGACCGAAGTTTGCGCCAGCTGGATGCGATAGATTTCGCAGCAGTGCTGGTAGATTTACCGGTCTCTTGATCTTCGCCAACTGACTTGAAAAGGCTGGATGACCCCGAAAAGCCGACCTCGCTGCCAATCTTCTTCTGCAACGTGCTTCGGACCTGGTCCAGAACCACTTCGAATGACTGCAACTCGTCAAGAACCGAGTCAGCGTCAAAAGTATCGACTTTGGCAAGTTTGAGCAATGCTGCCGTTAACAGATCACACTGTGACACTTTATCATCAAGAGCTTTGAGTTTCACGTTCCTCACCCTCCATACATCCCGGGGTATGAATAGTTTCGTGGTAAGGTATCCGCCATTAGGATGAGCAAGCGTCTGATACAAACATCGCATCAGCCAGAAAGGACGGAGAAGGAAAGATTCGGGGCAAGGCTCAAGTAGTTGAGGAGGAGAAAAGCTTGGAGCATCAGGGGTCCTGGGAGTCCTCGGTGGACCCGGGGCCGTAAGATCATCGAACAAGTACATCCCACCAGTCTGAAGGAGTTGAGGGCCAAAAGCAGCTGTTGATGGTGTCGGCAACGCGGCTGATGGAAGTGGCGGCACAACCTTTTTATTCTCTCCAAAACCAGCGCTAACCGGTGTGATAGGAGATTCTGTACTTGTTTCTGTCGTTGCGACCGAGAGATTTCTTAATCTCAAGCTCGAAGACGACAGATTCTTCTTGACGGCCGCGGGGGCCCCCATTTTTCCCACTTTCGCAGGTGACGGGGGCATGACTGCGGAATCCTCGATGCTGCCTTGAGAACCTCCTTGCGTCAAGGCAGGCGTGGCTGGAGAATCATTTTGGACAGAGTCATTGGCCGGCAACGTCGTCATGGGCGTAATGGGCGGCAGAGAGGGAACTGTGGATTCTGATGGGGCTGTCTGTATTATCTTTGGCTGTTCCTCGGGAACGTCCAGTTCTGGGACGGGCAGAGGCGCCGCAATAGGCTTGATGGAAATGGTCGAAGAGTTTCGTCGGGCAAAAGTCTCGATCTTCAATTGCTCCCCACTTCGACCTGAGAATCTCCTTTCGCGAATATTCAGTCCACTATGCTTCTCTGCACTGGCTGGTATGCTGGATTGTTGGGCTGGGAGTGCCAGTGGCGGTGGTTGGGGAAGGGCAGCCTTTTGAGGGGACGTCAAAGGAGCGTCTTTGGCTGGGGGAACTGGTCGCGGGGACGTTTCTGCCGGAGTCTCTTGCGATTCTGATAGTGTGCTCAACGTAGTATTATTTGTTGCAGTTGTTGACGGAAGTGAACTTGTCCACGTCCTGCCTGAAAACGTACTCGAGTCTGATTGTCGAGGAAGGGTCGACTTTGATTTATTATCAAAGGAAAAATCATCAAAGACAAATCCCTTCGTCATCTCTTCTAGCAATCGTTCCTCTTCCTCCGATGAATCGCCCTCATCATACTCTCGAGTCAATTCAACATCAGATGACAGAATGGAATGATCTTTGGAGGTCGTTTCCAAAGCGGGTACGGGAGTGCCGAAATCGTCAATGAAATCTCGTACGCCCTTATCCGGCCTCGGAGTGGGCTCCTCTGTCAGGTTGTCATCATAGGCAGCGTCTACAGCAGCGTCAAGAGCTGCTGCATCGAATTCAGCTTCGAACTCGTCGACAATGTTATGAGCGTTATGGATCCTGAAATCCAAAGATGACAATCGAGACGACCGAGAAGTTGACGAGTCGCCATCTTCGAGAGTGTCTAACCAGGAAGTCGATTCCGTGCTACCTTCTCGAGCATGGAGAGCACCTTTGGGGATTTCACCAGGTCCCCTAGTAGCCAGAGGTGTGTTCGCATCTCGTTCCGAGATGGGAGATGCCGCTCTTCTGGGCGAAAGAGGCGGCGGCATATACTGCGCATCCATAGGAACTGCAAGACTGGGTATCTGTATCCTCTTGCGGTTCGATGACTCCTTGAGATATGATTCTCCACCATATATTTCTGGAAGTAGAGATTCTTGTCTAGGGGGTATCTGGACAGACTCCAAAACCTCGGTGGTATCTGGTTCAACGCCATCACTAGTAAAGAAAGAGTTGTTAGTTTCATCAAGAGGAGGATCTTCTGGTAAGGCCTTCTCCATGAGTTCGGAGAAGGAATCGTCAAGATCGTGAAGGTCGGCTATTCTCTTCGAATACGCATTTCGAATGTCAGACAGCCTTTTCCGATCGTCGAGGACCGAGCTCCGGATCAGAACTTGTTGTAACAGATCACATGCTTCAGCATATGCTTCAATAGCGCCCTCGATATTCTGGGCGTTGTCAAGTAACACAGCATTGTTCGCTACTGCAAGGGCCTTGGAAAGCATTGTCTTTTGGGTCGGACTTCGATGACTTCTTCCACGAGTAGGTGGATTTGACGGAGATGGAGTATCGATCGATCCATCCCGACCGGCAGTTGTAGGCTGCATCTCTCGCGTGCTTGGTCGAGACACTGGTGTCATATATTGAGTTGTAACACTCTCTGAGGATCTCATGTTGGGCAGCGCACTCGTTCTCATATAATGGACGGAGACGGCAACTGCTTCCCCATTCTTTCCGGTCTTGCGACTCTGCCAGGTCTCGCCGAAGTACTCCCCGGCGCTGGGGTTAAACATAGATGTCGGGGTGAGATGTGGAGAGACACCAACTGAGTTGACATCTCGCGAAGCATCACGAGTCCTGTCCACTTGAAGGAATCCAGAGCCCAGACCCTGTCTCACCTGAGAACTCTGGCTGGAAGATCTCCGGGTATGCATAGATGTTTTCGCTGGCGTGGATGATGACACCAACAAGGGACCTATACTCATCCGCCGAGATGATGTGTTTGCGCGGGCGCGAATCGTGTCTGACTCGATACCCGATATACTGGAGGACGTGGAATGCGACCAGCGATTGATGTTCAGATTCGGGCTCAGAGAATTCTCCGGGCGACTTCTTGAACGACTTCTGTCGTAGCGAAAACGACTGGGAGGTACCGAGCTTTCTGGACTCCTCGGCCTCGTTCTCAAGTGAGCATTTCGAGAATCTAGCTGCCTCATGGCAGTGGTAGTAGTTTGTTTCCTGACGGTCGGCAGCGAAGATGATGTCGAATTAGACCTTGAACGTGTGCTGTTGTGGACGACCGGGTCTGCAGATGTGTCCATCGCTCTTGCAGGCTGGGAATCTCCAGAGATTCCCGTACTTGCTCAGGTACCGGGGTGATGCTGGCACATAGATGACGAGGGGTGGATAGGAAGCAGCAGCCAGCGACCTAGGTCGAGGCGCAACAGTTGGAGAAGCCCCAAGGCTACACTGCAGGGTGCAGGATCGATATTCCCGAGCAGCCGTGCCGGCAACGCTTTTCTGCAGAGTGTACCTGCAGCCGGAAGGTGTTTTTGTCTGCGGTTGAAAACGCGACTGGCGAATCAAGGAGATATCGGCCAGCATGCAAAGTCGGCCTAGTTTAGAATGTAACGCTTCCGAAGAGTTCGTGTGCAGTAGCCTGTATGTTCGCGTTGTTTCCCGCTCTTGGAGGCAGAATTCACTTTTCAAGTCAGGGCCAGACTGATCTTAGGGACCTGGCCGACGAGCAGGAAGGGTGGAGGGTTGCAGATTCATAGACCATTAACTTGTCCCGCAAATCCGGCGATTGGGAATTCCGCTTGGGACCAGAACATGGTGGTAATCACCTTGCCATGGTATCAACAAGTCGCCAGATTCTCCTATGCCTGTGTCTTTACTGATATGCTCCCAGCCAAAATTCCACCGTGTCGCTTTGGCTCCTAACGGATCGGCGACGGAAACGGAGGGAGGTCGCGACAGATAGGACTGCTGGGAAGTCAAGCGAGGTTGGGGGCGGTGTGATGGAGGGATTCTTGAAGGATTTAGTGTCTCGAAAATATAGAATCGAAACAGAGGCGATGAGGTCGAAGAGTCCAAATCAATAGTAGTATTTCAAAGGGGGGGACTTAGGGAAACTGAGGATCGAGTCGACGTCTGTTGGCAAGCATTGATCGAGGAGGTTGTCGAAGTGAGAGGTGCATCAATTGAGTGGCTCGCCGGTGACAAGGAAGTCAGGGATGCGATGACGGGCGGGTAGGGTGCAGGCTGAGCAGGATGCAAAGACGTTAGCAGGGTCAGCAAGAAACCAGAGGGATGGCTTCTTTGGTGTCTACCTAGGTAGAGCAGCTCGTAGGAAGTGGTTGTTTCCCTCAGTCGCCAGGTGTGTGAATTCATCCCTGAGGGTGACCGTGACCCCCGATTTGGCCGGGTGCCAGTGCTCGAGTTGAACTCTAAAGTCTCTCCCATACCAAGGGCGGCGGCGGCGAGGAGACAAGCGCAGGCACCAAAGGGGACCGGGCTGCAGGCACAAGGCATAAGCTTGCGGTGGTAGCAGGCGCCAAACTCATTTAGTGAGTCACCGAGCCACTCACCTTACAGCGCCGAAAATCAAGCCAGACGCACCCGAAAGACACTCTTGGGCTCCCTACCCCTGATTTTCACAGCGACTCCACCCACCAAGTCCGAGTTGGGTTGGCTTCTTCGGGTTAGGAGCACCAGGAGCTGCGACTTCTGCCTCCACTGCGTCGTCTCCTCGCTCAACAACAGTGCGAGCTGTGCATGACTCTCCGAATTCCATCACCACCAACGTCTAGCACGTCTCTGGAAATGATAACTAGGCACTTGTTAAGTACGACACGATGAATTCATCAATCTCATCTGCGCTGTTCAATATCCAAACACATTCGCGATCCCGTCTCTCTCAATTCCATAGGCCACTTACTTTTAATCAGCGATCTCCTGCATCCAACCGAGAGCCTATCGTTCCTTGCGGGGGAATGCCACGCCCACCCTGGTTTATCAGGCTCGTCGTCCTTCAAGTTTTGTTCAGCCTATCCTCGTCCGAAAAAGCCTAACTCTCCCCTGTTGACTTCCCCTTGTCACACCACCGCCCTTACCAGCCTCTTCTGGTGGACACCAATATTTACTTGTAGATAAGGCGGTGATGCTCAAAAGGACGACATCCCACATCTTGTTGCAAATTGTCATAATCCCAAGCTGCATCTCAAGAAGGATCAACAGGTACGGATCTATTGCGTTTGAAAGAGACGGGCTCTGTGTCCCCAGGGCAATCCCAACCGGACTGGCGCCGTCATTGGCTCAGCGGTGCAACTTGATGTCAACGGCGTCCCTGCCATGTGCAGGTTGGACACGCGGGATAACGTCCTTGATATGCAGGTCCCGGCCTTGGATGGGTCATCCTGTTCGCGAATGGGGAGCAGAAGAAATGCAATCAATGGGAGCGTCCAACCTCGCCTCTTTCTGCAGTCACCCGTTTTGTCCCTTGTCTTGGATGCAGCTCTCAACATGCATGACAATTACCTCTTCTCCCATGCAAGAACCTATCCTTCTGGAAGCTTCTTGGTCAAGTGCACAGAGATCTCTTTGTGCGACAAATGCCCAAGATCCTCGTGGCGCCGACCGGGGTGTCCTCTGGACCAGATCCAACCGATAGTAGTGCTGTTGTGCAAAGTCGCAGCTACACTGCCGCAAATTGTCGAGCAAATGGGATACTTCACGTTCGGTGGGTCAGGTGAGATACTTGAGCACCCGCCACATATCCTAAACCGCAACTGACAGCCTCACCGACTTTTAATGGTTGAGAGCTTCACACGATATGACCCCGCGAGGTGAGTGCTGGCCGACAATAGAGGGAATCATCCTCCTTCCGTCAGTCTCCAATAGTATCAAACAGGTCCTGCTACACAGGAAAACCATGACTCCCGATGTGGTTTGATGGTACGGTTTCAAGTCACGGCGGTCATCGTAATGTGCCGAGCTACGAGTAGATTTTGAGGAAACGCCCCCTACAAATGTCGATGAAAATGATTTAAAATCATCGATTCTTTCCGGCGATTTCCACTCTGCTCTGGATCTTCGCTACCGCTCGAATATTCAGACCGCCGATGATTCGAGAATGAGTTCCATGTTTTGCCACTTATTCAAGGGCCTCACTTGTCTCTCTGCGCACGCGGCTCTCTTCCAGTCATCTCACAGCCACGGAACAGGATAACAGCCTCCATTTCCTTGGAACTCTTTTCTATTCGCTTCGAGCTCGAAGACGATCACGGTACTAATCCATGCAATTACCCGCTAATTTCACCCGTTTTGCTGAATGTCTCTCCACAAGATTTGTTTGTCTAGATCTGCCGTCCCAGAATGAACATGGTCATCCCGAACATATCGAATCAGTGATGACATTCGATCCATGATTCGAGGCACAATCAAGTGGGAATGTGTTGCGAACGGAAGAGAGCACTCGAGTCGGTATCAAATCAGTTGATTTGCTGAAAGAGGACAAGGAAAGGGAATTCTCTAATAAGGTCTCGTGGACCTTCACCACTAGGCTGGAAAATGCTTCGAATATTGCACTTTTGCGCGGGATATAGCTTAGTGTTCGTAAGACTGACATCTACAGAATCGTGAGAGGAAGGAAACAGATCCAGATGTCTGGGCCGCCGTAAGTTTCGGACGAAAAGCACATAAGAACGGTCTAACCTATGTCTGTGTCATCCCTAGACCTAATTTCCTGGTTCTGCTCGACCATTCCTGACTGGAGCGAAGCATTCCGATGGATATCGAGATCGTTCATAAGCTTTGAAGAGTCCCCTGGCCCACTCTTGCTTCTGGCGACAATTTTGACGACTATAACCACAATCGACATCAGCTGCATTTGTGTCTGCAGGAAAAGCCCAATGATGTTTCTCTCAGCGTACGTCGGGTTCGTGTCCGTCGTCTTTCTTTTCATTACACCGCGGCCAATCTTTGCCGCCGATCAAACGTCGGATCCTAGCTTAGTTGCGAATCTGAAGATGGCAGCGACTATGAATGACCGACTCCACATGCTTTCGGACCACCAGCTTCTCTACAATTTCTCCACCAACCCGATGTATTCCTGGAAGCCAGGGAGTGTCTGCAACGCAAATGCCGCAACCTGGCCCGTCCTCTCAACCGTCGGGGCGACGGTGGCACAACTGAATCTGGGGCCATGTGCGATGCTTGCTCCGCACTTACATCGAGCTGACAACCTCGTTGTTGCGGTGAGCGGAACGACCCACACGTACATGGTTCAAGAGAACGGGGCTCGACTTGTGGAGCAAATCTTGACGCCGGGGATGATGACCATCTTTCCTCGGGCAAGTGTGCATACTATGTATAATATGGGTGCGTCTATCTATATTGAAGATCTTCCTCCTCTGCTGATGATCGTCTAGGCTGCGGGAACACCCAACTCTACTCATTCCTCAACGATGCCGACCCGGGAACACTGAACATTGCGCAGGCATTCTTCATGATGCCTCAAGACATTAGTACGCAGGTGATGCCGTTCATCAACCTCACCAAGGGGAACTGGACAGCTACAGGCCAGCATATCCCGGCCATTGGGACAGGGAGTCAGGAAGGGTTTGTAGCGTGTAGGAAACAATGCGGGCTTATCACGTAGGTATACCCCGATAGGCCTATAGTGATCTAGAGTAACATCCCAGATACGATGGCTGTTCGTTTTCTGTTTCTCGCTAAGGTCTGTTGTGTTGGGCATTGGCTTTATGGACCACGTCTCTTACTCCTGTGGACTTTTGTCGAAAAAACTTACACGGGGTATCTTATGGCCCAAGTGACAGTCACAAGTCTCAGCTTGTGCACTGTCCATTACTACGAGGCAATTGCAAGGCCGGCTCTGCTTCTTATTGTTGTTCGATCGTGGTTGATTTTGTAATTTAGTCCACTCCTTTAACAAGGATACTTGGCCTACACTGATACGATATGTATGGAATTCTGCACCTTTTTGCTGACCTAGTATGACGATGGTCTGAGTATCGACATATCTCGATGACTCCGCGCCAATGCCAACACCGGAATTCTATGTTCATACTGCTCAACCCACTCACGAAGAGAACCCACACCCTTTTAGGCTTAATGATGTCCGGCCATACTGCTCTATGTTTCATTCTCTCTTCCAGCTCTTCAAATCCACCTCGCTAGCCTCCGGCGTCCTCTCCTTTGTCGGTGTCCTCGGCCCACTTGGTGTGTCTGGCCTACTTTTGTCACCACTGGCACTCGCATGCAAACTTACATTCTCCCGATACGCAACGTACTCGCTGTC